ATCTAAAAGAATGTCTGACTTACAAAATATGATGTACATGTGTAGCAGTATGATTTCATTAAAATTGACAATAAATCAGAATCAATAAAGTAAAAGAAAGTGTTTCTCTAGATTTGAATTAAAAACAGATTGTTATAATGAATGTTCATGTGAAAATGTGTTAAAGACAAATCTAACTGAAGCAGAATTACATAAACTGAATGAAGCATGAAGTTGGATAACTATAGTTTAAGTGTTTTGATTATTCTTTTGTTATTTTTACTATTTGATCTTGCTTTTGGTTTTCTTTTGCTAAATTCATTGAATAAAATTTACTGCAATTAAAGTCTAAATTGTGGGCATTCACTTTTTAACCTTTCGTGAAACAGTAAAGGCAGAAGCAGGGGTGATTCTAGGATCAGAGCTTTGGGAGTGCTGAGCACCCAGAGAGCTGCCCAGCCAGGCAAGATAAACTTTACTCGTTACAATGAGACTTCTTCCCTGTCTATGTCAGTCCCTGCATCCTTAAATGTCTCCAGTTGTCCCGAGTTCTCTCTGATTGTCTCCTTGGTGCATTTAAACCCCTGTTCCTCCCTGTCCTCGTCGTCTGTTGTCTTCGTCTCCATTATCAGTCGTCATAATTTTACCATCTCTGTGCAAGTCTGCAAATTTCTTTATTAAATCATAAGATTCTTAAATTCATCATGTCTCTCTGTGCCTGGGTCCTCTTCTCAAAACATTTTAACACAATTTAATCCCACATTTGCGAAAGAAAAGCAAAACACTTTTTTGAAAAGTCTGTAACAAAACCATCAAATCTGATGAAGGTTATTTAAATGCTGCCAAAGACTACTACTGCAAAATAAGAATGGATTGGAATATAAAAAATACATATCCTAACTTCAATTACTGGGGAAGATTAACAAATGATGCTCATAGTGAGTAAAAAGTAAACTGAGTGCATTTTTTGGACAGAGATTCACTTTTAATGTGTATGTGTAATATACACACAAAACAAAGGCCGACTGAACAAACTACAGACCACAAAACCAGCCAAAAAAGGAGACAAAACGGATGAGCCCCCAAACCAAGTTATGACCCGCCTTGGAATAACTGTAACAAGAGCAGGATGTTCCGCGACTTCCCACATTTATTTAATTTATTTACGGCAATGGCACTCAGTACAACGATAGTGGGAGAGTATGATTTCAGGGTGAGCTATGGCCAACACAAGAAACAAAACCCAACCTATGCTTCGGTTCCCCTTTGACCTCTTCTGGAAAAAAGACAAAAGAAATGACACAGTCTGACCTCCCTGGTCTAACAACACAGTAGAAAACAAAGCTTCCCAAAATAATCAGCAGCTAATAAACACCCCTTGCTCCGCACTTCACACACATGCCCAAATTTAACTAAGTAGCTATGGCTGCGGCTGCTCCATCTGGACCTGAGGCAAGTGCACGGGAAGTTTTCCACACACCGCGGCTCTTCCGTCGTCCTTTTATTGATTACGTCCACAGCGGGAGCCAGTTACATCAGGCCGTTCCTTCCGTCCACCAACCACAGCCGAGCCCCTGCACAGATGAATTGGCATACACACATTCTGAAACAAACAAACAACACACGCACGTAACACAGATACATAAAAAATACACTCCAAAAATAGAAGACTCCTTGAATTTTACAAAAGTACAAAATATTAATTGAAAAAAATCTAAAACTGGAGGCACCTTTGCCTATGGTACAATGTATACAATGTAAGAAAAGATCTTTACTGCCGATAATACTACGGCTCTGCAGATTTTTTAAATTTTATTTTAACTAGTGCTGTCAAAATTAAAACTCGTTAACGTAGATTAAGCCGTCCTCACGATTAACGCGCTAAAAAAAATTTATGCTATTAACGCATCTGCAGTGCAGAATGACTCAAAATCCCTGAAATGTTTCTGTCAATGCATTTCGGGCAGTTTGTCCAAGTAGATTTACCTTCGCACATGCGCAAATGAGCAGGTGATCTGGTAGTGACGGGCAGCTGAAATAATCACATTGTGCAAGAAGGAATTTTCTTTGCACTGAAGCACTTGCAGTGATATCACATCACATCATACAATGCTGTGATTGCAACCATTCCCCAACCCTCTCTGAATGGTACTCATGGCCATTGATCACTGGGCTTTGATCAGTGGTTGTTGATCAATGGTCATGAGAATTTGCATAATTATGATTAAGGAACTGACCTCCCAGCCCATTGTTCCTTCAGTGGTGCTAGTTTCAGTCATTATGCAAATGTATGGTTTATAAGGTTGGGGAAACCTGCAGTCTGCTGAGACTGAAGAAGTCACTTGGATGAGTGATGAAACGTTTCTCCCACTAAAAACGCCACATTCAGATGAACAGAATCAACTTTTGGAGACGTGAAGCATACGTTAGCCGGGGATGCTGCTGGAACTTTGGCTAACACGTCATGCAGCTTGCGACAAACCACTCATGGAGCTTCGGGGACTCAGTAAGTCTACCTCGGACATATTAACTGACACAGTTGCCAAGTGGATTGCAACAAACTGCAGACCTGTTAATGTCATTGAGAACATGCACTTTACATAGCTTTGGTTCCTCCTTTCAAGGACTTGAAGTGCCTGCCCAAGAGTGTTTTGTTAACATGAATGTTCAAGATGTTTAATAAACGTGTTCAGTGTGTATATTTTTCCTTTTTTCTCAAGTCTGTTTGCTCATGCAAAATGAAATACGATTAATATAGATTAAAAATGAATATTTAATCATGATTAATCAAAATTAATCCACATTAACCCTTTGATGAATCAGATTAAAAATTGCAATTGTTTGAGAGCACTAATATATATATTATATTATTGTATACTTACCTTTTAGTATGTAGGTTTTTTAAAAAGTTGTATTTCACAGGAGAGAACCTGTGCTAAAAGAAAACTATTCAAAATCTCTTTGAATTTAAACACACATTCTTTTTGTTTATTCTCCATTTACTTCATTATATTGCATAAATGTCTGTTACAAGCTTAAATATGAAGTTGAAAAAGTGTAATTGCAGCCAGGCTATTAATTAAAAAAGTAATTGCAATTAATCGCCATTAATTACAGAAAATTGTGAGATTAATTAGTTAATTTTTTTTTAAATCTATTGACAGCACTAATTTTAACCTATGTCGCCTCACCTTCAGGTTGGCAAATCTGTCTGTAACTTTTTAGAGGTTAAGTCTCTCAAGCATCTTTTTCTCAACTGACATCAAAGCCAGGTGCTGGAGTCTGCTTTGACCCATGGTCCTTCTCAGCCAGGTATGGAGCTGACTCAAGACACTAAAAGACCTCTCACAGCTACAGCTGCTAACTGGGTTTGTTAGGGCAACCTGAATAACAGTTTTCAGTGTGGGGAAGATCTGATTATCCAGAAAATTTTACAATGTTAACATATCTGGAATGGCACCAGCCTCACTCTTGAGCTTTTGGCAACCATGACTTCCTCTGACTCAAGTTCAATATGGTAACACAGTGCCAGGGCTGACAAATGTTTCTGTTTTGCCTGTCACTATTCCCTGCATGTTTTCTTACCTGGTTCTTCCTGACCTTGTACTTTCTCCTCATGTTCCCCTCTTTCCTCGCTCCCTCTTTGGACTTACAATCATACACAAATAGATTGTATTCAATTAGATGAAAAAATTACATGAATATGAAAAAAAAATACTATTAAGATCACTAATAATAAAAAAAAAAGATCACTAATAAAAAGTCCTCTCAGTGTACTTTCAACCAAAAATCAAATAACCAAACCACATGCATAGGCTACGGACAATTTTAAGTTTTAGATTTTAAATAGAGATAGGCTCCAGCACCCCCCGCAACCCTGAAAAGGATAAGCGGGAGCGAATGGATGGATGGGATGGATTTTAAATAGGCTATATAATTTATATAGTCCTGTTGCTGCCATTGAAATTTATATAATATAAATTTCAATGGCAGCAACAGGACGGTCAACTGTTGCCCATTTTATTGTAGGGTAGCAAACATCGTCAGAAAACACGTTTTCAACACAGCAGGTTACCTGGTGTAATGTTTTTCAGCTAAAAAGAAACATGGTTTGACTCCTACCTAACTATATAAAGAGTAACTGAACGTTAAATGCAGCTAACATGTCCTGTTTTAAGCCAGGCACTTACACCTCTGCTCTGCTGTGTCTCAGCCACCATCACTCTGGCAGAAAGGGCGCTAGAGCCAGTCATGTTATTGACTTGCCAATTTTCCAATTTTTTTAAAGATGTGTTGTTACTATCAAATTCAAAATGAGCTAATATTTTTTCCTTAAAATGCAAAAACAGGGGGTCCTCAGTAGTTGTTTATATACACAGTTCTACATTTTAGCTGATTATGTTTATTAAATAAATTACACAATTTAATATGTAATTTATCCTTGTTCATCCCCATATGGAAAAGATATATATAAATCTTATAAAGTTTGTATCTGTCTTGTGTGAAACTTGTATGAAAAACATATAAGAGTGAAAACAGATATAAGATCCCTTGAAAAATTATATAATGAAACTTGTATGTTTTGGATACTTACTAAAACAATATATGAAAGTAATGAGAAAGTGGCCACTTTCATGAGTAAATCATGTAAGCCTTATATGATTTACTCAGGAAAGTGGCCACTTTCATGAGTAATCACATATAAGTTTTTACTATTTCTTTTCCATATGGGTGAGGTTAGATTTACCTGTTTGTTAAGACTATGTCCTGATGTGTAAATTCGAAGAATTACGTTTTCAAATGACCGTATTTTTGACTGTATTTTTAACCTAATTTAATCTGATGTATTCAACATACTGATATTAAGGCCTACTTAAGTAAGGTAGTATAATTTCAGTGTTATAGTTTCAAAAACACAAATACTTTGGACACTTATACTTTCACAATTATCAAGATAATTATATGATTTACAGT